AGAACCCCCAGGCTGTCTCCTTTTAAGATTTATCACAAAATATTTTTGAAAGATTTGACCGAGATGCTGTACATAGATTTTATAGTATCGATATGAAACAAAGATTTCCGAATTTTTATTGCCAAATGGCTGCTTAATGGCTGCACAACTAGATTTGTTCGCATTATTGGGCAAAAGGGTCACAAGTAGAAAGTTAATGCATGTCCCCTACAGCATTGCCATGGCCTGCCTGAGTTTTCACAGATGATGCTGTGGCCTACCAGGGGTCCAGCCCAATTTCTCATTAAAGCCTTCTTTTGAGGAAAAAAGCATCTTACAAGGATTCCTTTTTTTCTGAGGACACCCAGCAGAGACAAACTTTATTCATGGGAGGTTCTGACAAGTGTAAGTTTCTTGTCAGGTCTTTACACAGTTTACTAACTTCCATATAATGTGTTCAGACACTTCTGACTTCCTCCCTAAAGAGAAATCTGCTAGCTATTTTCATGAGTTAACAATTAAAGGGCCTCTATTTCATATTAAAAGTATTTTTATAACTTCAGAAAGTGCCCAGAGACCTTGCTTACAGTAGAAAACACAAATGAGAACACGGCATTCACATGAAAAATATTGTAGCTAGTGATGGTTGAAAACAATAAAAAAATAAGTCACAAAATACTTTAAATGTCAAGGTGACTTGAATGTCAGAGTGTTCTGTCCTTTCTGCATTTTTTTGAAGTTTTTACAAAGTAACTTTTCCTCTAACCTGTTTTTATTACCAACTACAATAAAATGAAGGCTATCAAAATAACAGAAGCTTCCTTTTTTTTTTAATTTCTTTTTTCTTTTGCCATTCTGTGTCTTTTAAAATCTTCTCCAACTTCTGAAATTCCAAAGTGATGGCAATACAGAAAGTTCCTTTGGATTTTGATTGATCGTTTTTTTTTTTTTCTCTTTTTTTCTTTTTTTTTCTTTCTTTGATAGTCTATTCATCCCAGTACCAAGATATTTTATGACAATTCTGAACTGATGGGCAAAAATAGGAAGGGAAAAATAAGATTTAACAACAACAATAACAACAAAAAGTTTGAGTCTTATTCTTGTGTTTATTTCATAAAAGGAAAGAACTTTTGATATTTAATTTTCAATGTTTTCAATACCAATGAACACCAGAAACGCTAGAACAAATCCCCTAAATAGAAGCCCTGAATGCATTTAATGTGGTTCTTCAATTGCAGAAAAAGCCACTTTTGATCAGACTAGCAGGGCCAAGGGTAAACATCTGGCTGGCTTTAGTTGAAACACCTGCACAATGGTAAATGAGTTCTTGTGGACAGTACGTTTTCCCCGTGAATAGGAGGTGGCAATGATATCTCCTCTGCTTTCTTCAAGCCTTCCATGAGAGGTATTAGTCCCATGCAAGGCAACAGCACCTGACCTTGGTTACTAAGGCAACCAGTTGTGCATGGCAGCGGCTGTAGGATCTGGGCCCAACCAGGCTCGTTCATCCTTTTTGCATTTAGGCTGTCAGAGGGATCTCGTACTATGACACATCTTGTTAAGGTAATGTTTTTAATTCCTGAAAAGCCAATAGACTTCTTTGTAGCTTTCAGGTTTTTTTTAAATAAATAACTTTCCGCTTGGTACCCAGTCATTCTGCTGCATGGTGTTTTGACTACCCATCGTAGCCTCGATGATCTGATTGAGAAGAATTGAATTTTGCTGGTTTTGATTGTTTTTGTTTGGCTGTTCCTCCCCCCCAGCATGTTATTATTTATTTGCTATCACTCTACATGCAGCCAGGGCTTTTCTTGGAAACTGGAAACACTGTGTGTGAAAGTCTCCAGCTTGGTAAGGATATACCGCCAGGGCCAGGAGACAGGGTCAGGGTCAATAAAGGCAGGATTGATACCAATGCCCATTTACTAGTTTTTTTCTGGCTCTTCTGGGTCACACACCAGCCACCAACCTCTGAAGGGGTCAGGAGGGTAGGTGAGGTGAAGCTTAATGTAAAAGCGGGGGTAGATGAAATTGACAAAACTCCCTGTATTTTATTAAGGTTTTAAAGCCGTATCCTATGCTATGAGTGTGTTAAATCTAACAAGACCTTTAAAACACTGTTCTAAACTCTAAAGCCATACCTCTTCCAGAGTACCTTAACTTCAACTACAAGGTCCAGCGTCTCATTTTATAGGAGGTTGGTATTAAGCTTAAAAGAAGAACTTGTCTAAATGTGCCCTGATCCCACAGCCACCTCTTGCTTTCTTATTCATGAAAGCCTGGGCGGACTAGCTGGCCATCTTGATTTGAATTGTTGCTAATTTTGGCAGGAGCTCAGGTGGGCTCCCTGATCAATCTCTATGAGAGCCCACGAAATTTAAAATGAGTTCAACCCTCTGCCTATGCTGCCTTTGCACAACCGGTCCTACTCCTGGACTGCTGTAGAATGAACCTCTTTGACCTTCCTGGCACATCAGAGCCATTCAACGTCAGACACATCTTGCTAGAACAATGAATGCAAAAAATACACAGTGGCATTTTATTAACTTGAAGGATTATACTTTCAGCAACATTCTGGAAAGTACTTTGTCTAAGATGTATTATCTGTTACATTCACATCTGAATTTCAATACTCATCAGTTCATAAGCAGAAACAACTCCGGAGAAAGCAGGGAAGGCATTTATCATGTTATGCACTTTACCACTGGAAAGAAAACAAAAGAGCATTCCTATTTTGCCTTACTTATACTCTCTTTGTGACACTACAGTCTTTTGATGGATACGTACACTCATTGCTTTTTTTCAAGCTTTTGGCTGTACACGCAGGTAAAATCACTTAGCACAAATGCAGTGCTATTGAGGGTGCCAGTTAGGTCCTGTGGGTGCTTCAGGGTCCAGTTCCATATTTTTCTTGTCTTTGTCTTGCCTGTCTTACCAGATAGCACGCCTTTTGAGCAGAAGGTCTCTTTCCCTGAGTGTGTATGCATTGGGCAAAGTGGGCGAGGGGTTTCAGACAGCCCTGCCCCTATTAGTCCCCACTGCAGCAATTTCCTCTTGCATGGTGCTGAGGATCCTCCATCCCCCCAGATGGCAATGGGCACCAAGAGCCCTTACTTGGGAACTGGCTCCCAGTCAGCGTTTAGTATTGGTGCTCCCAATTTGCACGGCAGATATGCAGGCATACGGGTTCTCCTGACTTCAGGAGGAGGCTGTGTGGGGCTGGCTGGCTCACAGCTCTCTGCGTGGGACTAAGCCAGCGTGTAGGCACCAGTGCAAGGACTAGAGCCTGTGCTGCAAAAACCCCTCTGCTTACAGAAGCTGCTTCACCCCTCCCTCTCTTTCCCACCCTCTCTGCCCCACAGCCTTATGAGAGAAAAGAAGAAACCTCACTGTGGTCCAAAGAGCCAGATTTAAGTAAATGGGAAATTACTGTATTTGGGGAATGTTGAGAAAGATGAGAACCTCTAGGCTTCAATAAACATTGACATTTTCTCCTCTGTGTTCAGGGAGGGGATGGCAGTTACCATGGCTGAAATGAACAAGAGGTGCAGTAAAATTTTCCTGTAGGTAGTTGGAGCCTTTCTAATATATTTCAGAGACTGCAGAATAATCTCATAGTGAGTAGTGTTGTAACTCAGTTCTTAGTATCTCATTAAGCTTTATAAGCATGGGGAAAGGCAGAAAGGAGAAGAGGCAGGTTCGTGTGCTTTTTTTCACAAAGCTTGCAAACTAGCAATAAGCAGCTTTGCTACTCACAGTATTTTCTGATGTTTCTTCTGCATTGTGGAAACATGAAATCAGTGTAGTTTGACTGTGTGTACAGATGTGAGGGGAAATCCTTTCTGCTGCCCCGCCCTCCTCCCTCTCCCTGATGCAGAACATAGAAATCTGAAAAAAAGGCATGCAAGAGAATAAGTGAATGGCAGCAAAACCAACACAGCTGGAGGGCTGGGGGTAGCAGCTAGCTGAACAGCAGAGAGGACAGACACAGACTTCAGAGAACAGTTGCAGGAAAACACACATCCTAGAACAGCTTTGAAAGAAGCATTTGGTTAAGATTTAACAAGTTAATCACTGCATGTTAATTACTGCTAATGGCAAGATTAAAAATAATAAAAGCAATTTATCTCATTCCAGAATAATTAGCTTTAATGACATGTTTGCACAGCACATAGAAAGACGTTTTGATGGGGATCAGCCCAACATCTGTGCATGCATAGCATACATAACAGCAACAGATCCTTGTAAAATGTCTGACAGATACAGGATCATTGGCTTTGCCGAGATTTTTCCAGGGTTCCAGGAATCTGAGCACTGACTTTCTCTGATTTTCTGCAGGTGCTCATGTTTCTGAAAAAGAGGGTGATTTCTCTGGTCACCTGTTGTATTAGTCCTACTCTGCATCTTGAGAAAAAGAAGAGATCTTATGGGGCTTCATCAAGATGAGTAAGAAGTAACTTTGGCCTTGGGATCTGCCTTCTTGGTGTCTGTGGCAAGTTTTATGTGTGTTTCCCATCCTGCTTGTCTCTTCTCTATTACCTATTTGAATAATAATTCTCTTCTGCTGGCTGATAAGTAGCATTAATCCCCTTTGGGATTGTCATGAAGTCATTTGGCTGGGGTGTAATTCAGTTTCTTTAAACATAAGAAAAAGTTAATATAGTTCTTACAGTTGTTTATATTCAGTCATTACAGCACTCAGTCAAATCGCTGGTGATGCAAACTGAGGGGTACAAGTGTGAAATGGTAGGGATTTTTCATCCAGGTGTCTTGAGTAATTGAAGCTATCTACAGAGAAATCTTGCTGAGTAAAAAAGGGCAAAATATTATTAACATCATTATGCCCCTCATATAATCTAATGAGTGGTAAATGCACTGGGAAGAATAATGAGTCTAGGTGAGTGTTACCTGTGGAGATCCCTGATTGAATAGCTGTGCTTAAGCTATTCCTTTGCTAATGACTCTGACTTGTGCATTTTTTGCTGTCTTGGCTACTGCTGTAGGATTGATAGTTGGATTACCTCTTTCACTTGGGCAGTCTAAGTAATCTGAAATATCACTGCTGACTAGCATCTTGACTATTTCTCTACCTTTAGCTCTTTACAGGTGACTGTAGTAAAACAGGTGTGCAGCCTTTTCTAGCTGTTCTCCTCCTTCAAAAGCAAATATCTCCAATGACAGCAGAGTAAATTAACTCTTGACAGCAAATTTAGCACATACCTTCCTGATTTCTGCAGCCTACACTGAACAAGCAGCACCATGTGGTTAGCTGATGTTGGGCCAAGTCTTTTTACTGAGGGAGTCTCATTAATGCGGCTCCCTTGAAAGTTGTTTTTGGGTGGAGATGTCATCTGCTGCACCTGGATAAGTGGGGTGGAGGCCTCTTAAATGGTGGTGGTGAGAGTCTATACTGTTAGGAGTAAGCAGAATGAGGAGAATTAGAGCTGCAGTGGCATTGTCATTGGCCTCCTTATGGCTCTATGAAGACTCCTGGCTCAGGCCCTTTGCTCGATCTCTTCTGTGGCTCCTAGGCTTCATCTTCTGGGGTTCTGCTGCAGCTCTGGCCTTTGGTGGAATTCTTGTGATCCTGATGCACGAGAACTATGGATATTTATTTCCAGAGTCTTTCTTGGTTCTCCCTGGCTGGCTGGCTATTGTGGCTGCACTTATCTTGCTACCTGCTGGAGTTTTGGCTATCTCTATTTCTGCGAAGAGCTCCCGCTATCAGCAAGGTGCTCTGATGTACTTGCTGCTGCTCCTTCTTTGCCTAGAAATGTCTTCAGCAATTCTGGCAGATTTCTATACTCTTCGATTGGCTTCTGAGATGCAAAGCACTATGAGTTACCTTGTCTATCAGTACAATGGAACGCACTCCCAGGGCCCTGGCAGCGAAGCTGTGGATGTGGTACAGAGGCAGCTGCAGTGTTGTGGGGTCCAAAACTATACGGACTGGCTAAAATCAACAGCTGCTTCTTGGCACCTCCTAGCTGAAGAAGCTCGTGTCCCCAAAAGCTGCTGTAAGGAGAAGTATTCTCACTGCAGGGGAGACTTAAGCCATCTGGAGCAGCTTTTTCAGGAAGGCTGTCTAAAGAAGCTGGACGACCGCTTGCATGTTGTCATGCTCTATGTGTTTTGGTGCTGTACTGTGATAGGCATCTTAGAGCTGTTGGCTGGTGTCAGCAATGGCATCCTCATGAGGTATCTGCCTTTCCATGACTTCTCATTTCTGGACTCATCTACCTTGTCATAGAGCTGCAGACAGTGGCAGCATTGCTGAACCTGCTACATGTTTTCCTGGTTTTGTACCACTTTGCAGTTGCACTGGAAGAAAACTTTTTTTGAAGATGTATTTGCATGTAAATCAAACTAATTGATCACTGCTACATTTTTTTTTTCTTAAATGTTAAAATAGTAGATCAGTTTTCCTCAGTACTTGTTTGATAAGTGTTCTGTGTTTGAAAAGTGTCATCGCTGGAAGTCACAGCAGGGAGAGGAGGGTTGTGTTTGCATCGTCAAACAGGAAACCACTATATGTGAGTACGGGGGAAGCAGGAGGTAGAGGTATGTCTTGCTCAGGGGAGCATGTTGAAAGGTCATGACCTGAACTTTTGGAATAAATCTTAACTGTATTAAAATCTTGAAGAGTAAGTAAAGAACAGATTCCTCCACCTTCAAACTTCTATTTAGCACTTTACTATTTCTAAAAGAAGCCCTTTGGATAAAGGTTAACACTTTTTTTTTTCCTGCTTCATACAATAGTTAAAAAAATTAATGTGTCCTTCAGTGAAAATAAATGCCAATTCTTGAAGTGGCATGAAGGTGAAATATAAATCTTGCTTCATTTATTTTGTGCTAAAGCAAGGAATGACTCAATTCTCCTTTACTTAAAAGTTATATGGGGTCATATGGATACTTGAATGACAACATGAATGACACTGCTTCTTCTTAATGTACATCTGCCATACTCATACTAAATCCCCTTCTTATCAATTTACTGTGGTCTCACTCTAGTTTGTATGTGTTGAAAGGAATGAAGTTTGAATATGGGCTATTCATATTCTGGTTTATGTCAGTGCTGTTGGTGTTTATGGATGTGCTGGTAAAGGCTCTGCTCTACCTGTGTTGGATGGTGCAGTGCATGGTTGTGTATGCTTGTACATGTGTTTCTGTTTGGGAAATGCTCTCAGCCTCTTTACTGACTTGCAATTGGGAACTGCAGCAGCTGCATCTTTAGGTAAGTGTATTTAGGAAATCTCCAGGGCCTACAAGTGCATCACGTTAGGCTTTATCAGACTGGGAACAAGGAAACCCCTTGGGGCCACAAAAACCACTGGACTGAGCAACTCCCTTAGCACTTGAAGCAATAGCCAGCTAAATCATTATTGCTTTAAAATTTCTACCAAAGGTCAAGTACTTTATGGCAAATTTCAGATCCTAAAGCACCAGATATTCCCCCCCACGAAAATCAGTAATCAGAGGACATAAGTCAGCACTTTCAGCCTTATTAATAACTATGTGGAAACCAAACATAAAATATACTATATAAATATACAGAGCTGTCTCATAAAAAAAAAAAAAATAGAGACCTTGATTTAGATAAAGGAAAAGAACTAATCCATTAGGAGTGAGCAATTCTTTAAAAAAAAAAAAAAAAAAAAAAAAAAAAAAAAAGGAAAGACTGTTCCAAAGGAAAAGAACTATGTCTTTGAGTAACAATGGAAGGAAACATTTCTTTCAGTTTGCTTGACATGCGATGCATGTGGCAGTGAATAAAATTTGTCTAGTTAAGCACTGCAATTGGGTCTTTATAGATTTGTGGTACCATGGCACATAAATGTTTTGTGATGCAAAGTTATTGCTATGACATTGCCAAAATGCAATGAAATTGAAGTGACTGCAGCTGGCCCAGGAAGAAATTGAGTTTTCTGGAGAAAGGTAGAAGAGTGTAGTAGGTGTACTGCCTTTTTACCACCTGCCTTTTTTAAGGGGGATATTTTCCTTCTCAGAGCAATTCTTATCCCTTACTACTTATTCACAGGTTCTGAGCCAGAATCTCTTAAAAAGGGGGAATGTCCATATTTTTTCACTACTAAGTGTAAAGAAACAATTTCAAGATCACTAAAAAGGAGAATTACTTATGGGGATGTCTGCATCTACTCACTAGTCTGCTAAAAGTCCAGGTCCTGGATGGCTCCCTCTACTCTTACAGTACTTAAAAAATTATAAATATGAAATAATAATAAATCTCTGGATGTTAACTATAAGAAATGAATTTCAGGAGTTATTTCTCCTCCCCCGCATACCAGAGGTACCTCTGGAAGATCAGATCTCAAACCTGGTTAAAACAAAGAGGAGAGTGTAAGAATGCATGAGACAGACCTACTACAGGTAGAAATGGCTGTTAGTAGAGAGTCCCTAGGCAAAACTGTAGATTGTGTTGTGTTGCTTGTGTCAACTTGCATAGTTTGATTCTGAATAGTTACTTCTGGACAGGAGTAACTTCTTTTGAAATAAGAATGGTATTATTTTGAAGCAACTGCACTATATTTCTGTGTTAAAAGATGCATAAATCCTTGGGTATTATTGCAAGCTGTACATTGAATGCTTCATTTTGAAAGAATCTCCAGATGTTTTTCCCAATGTGTAAAAATGAGTAGCTCTGCAGGCAGCAGATGACCTACAGTCAACATTTCTGGAAATTGTGTTGCTTTGGGTTTAAAGGGCAGAAACTGATGTCCAGTGCAAAGCAAGAAATATATTCTGTGATTACTCTTTTGCAGAGTACCCTGAAATCTGTATATTCTATGTGCGAATTAGTGATTTAGCTGTGTTGTCTTTCTTCTTAGAAGACAATAGTCAGAAATGCAAAATTAGTGCTCAAATGCAGAAGTCATCATTGCAGCCCTTTACAGAATCACAGAATCGGGGTTGGAAGGGACCTCTGGAGATCATCTAGTCCAATCCTCCTGCCAAAGCAGGTCCACCTAGAGCATGTTGCACAGGAACTTGTCCAGGTGGGTTTTGAATATCTCCAGAGAAGGAGACTCCACCACCTCCCTGGGCAGCCTATTCCAGTGCTCTGCCACCCTCAAAGAAGTTCCTCCTCATTTTTAGAAACATCTTTCTGCTATGCCTCTCGGACTGAACCACCAAACTTAGCAGAAAGCACTGGCTGCATCTTTACAATATGGCCATTTTGAAATTCATTGCTTCTTTCTGACTCCTTTACTTTTCCAGATGGTGAGCATGTTGAAATTATTCTATTTTTTCTTTGCCTTTCTGTGTGTCCGTTGGTCTTTTTGTCTGTCTTTTTCATGTAAGTTTTCTGTCTCTCCTCCTTTTTTTCCTGGATGGGGTTGTCTTCCCTCTTCTCCTCTGCTTCCCCTTGTGAATGACAGTTTAACTCTTAGCTGAGCAGGACATAATGTAGATTCTGGAATTCTGAGTTGTCCTTCGTCAAGTTTATTGTGTTTTGAGTGTAAAAATAAATTCTGTATCACAAAGTAGAAGGATCTAGGCTTTTCTAGAACATGATTGAACACATAGTTCCTGCCTACCTCCTATAGATACTGTTAAATCACTTAAAGTTACTGTTCAATTGAAATTATGGCTTTTATAGTCTGGTAAGGTTTTTATGTCTTTGCAATGAAGCAGGGGGTTGCAGCGTTACACTGTGGTCTTTTTTCTTAGAAATTGAGTTGGGTGATCTCCACTAGCTAGAAAAGATTATGTTGAACAGCTAAGTCTTTTTTCTTGCTAAGCAGAGTATTTTCTTTACAGCAACACTAACAGTAAGGTCTTTGCCAATATCTTGCAGCTGCTACTTCAAACACCAGGAAGAAATCCCATTGTGTGTGTGATTGTCCCTTGAGCCGAATGTCTCTTTCAGAGTAATGGAACATTTTCTGAGAGCCAGAGAGTTGCCAAGTTGAGATTTAGTTGGTCTGAAGCATTGAAGATGAAAAATCCAATGTCATCTGTTGTTAATATTTTAAGGTGTAAGGAATCAGCTTTTATCCTCAGGGCTGCCTCCTACCTTTTTCATTTTTTAAGAAAGAAAATAACTATATCTTCAAGAAGATAAGCATTCTGCTGTATACTGTAAATCATTGTGGAAACATAAACTGTTTTCCATGTAGTTATGTAGTTTTACTGAAGAATTCAGAAAGCTCCTACCATGAGTTTAATTGCCTGGATGATGCTCTAATACACCACAGAAATTTGTTTTGCAATGAAGAGTGATGTCATTGCAAATGACATCAATGGTGTCATATTTTCTCCAGTAGAGGAAAAGCTAGATATTTAACATATGTAATACCTAAGGGGATCAGCTCTAAAAGCAGCTGTGCATGTGAATAACTTAATTTTGTCAGGAAAGATCACACAGGTAAAGCTATTCAGGAACACACATGTCTGTAGTTTCACACCTTAAAACTGGAGGAAGATGTCTGTACTCACCTGGCATGGAATTTATATGAACCCGTAGCTAAATCCATGTGAGGATGCTGGAAGAGGAGAAGGTTGCACAAGCTAAACAAGTGAACACAAGCTACATCCATATTGTTGCTAAAACTGAGACAATAGTAAGTTTTAATAAAAAAATATACTGCTAATTTGAGAAAAAAAGATTAATCTTTTGCTTAAGGCATGAAAGACGAAAGCAGGAGGCTGTCGCTCTGGAGAGAACCAAGGAGCAATAATAAATCCTTAAATCAACCCATTAATGTATTCCTTCCAATTTTGTCACTCTTCTATATCTATTTCTAGACAAAACACCTTCCAAAACCAGCTATGTGTGCTTGAGAGAGAGAATGTTTGAATATACGGTATGTAATTTATGTCTACAGGTGTGCATATTGACATGGAGACTGTACATGGATATTATCGTGGAGCCTTCTATAACAGTAAGGCAAAAGATTGCTATGCAGCTTGTAGCTATAGGCGATTAATTATAAAAAAATATACCTCTGAGTGCTTTTTTGCCCTGCATAGACTTGGATTGGATGAAAAAGCTGAAACTAGTCATTGCATGCAAGAGTCATGATTTCTTTCAAAAAAGTCACTTTCTACTTAGAGAAGTTTCAAACGGTGGCTGTAGACCATTGGAACTGTCCAAGAGACTTGCATACAGGAAACCCCTCATCTGTCTCTTCATCCTTTAAGTCACGTCACCTAGTATCTCTTCTGATAACTCAACAAATGCAGTCAGTATGCCTCTTTATATTAGACTTCACACTATTATTTTCTTAC